GATGAGTTAAAAAAGAGTGATTAGATCAGAGAATTTTATGGACAAATACTTGTATCGACTGCATAGGACAAAGAAGGTGGAGATATATATAAATGAGCAAAGAATTACAAAACAAGCATTAAAATTGGAAACTAACGAGGCTAAAATGCTGGCTGAACTCCATGTCAGAAATTGAGAGAGTTGCATGCAATAGAGTGGAGTGGAGGAATTGAATGTGAACCCTGTGCGATGTCTAATGGCACACAAAGAATCATGATCTGATGATATTTTTTTTATTCAACAGTAGCTGCAACCCGGCCAACCGGCGGAATTTAGACCATGAATCTTTCCTGGGTCCAGTCAGAAGCATGGATGTAGCAGTTGGGGCAGCTTCGTCAGGTGCCAGTTACAATGAAGCATCTACAGTCTTCAAGACATTTGACAGGTATAAAAGAGATGGCCGCTGCACAGGCCAGTCTTCTTCAGATACTGGTGATGGTGGTGGTCTTATGTCTGGGGAAAGGGATGCTCAAAGGCAGGCATCAGAGTCCTTAGCCAGTATTGGTGGCTCACCTCCCATGTCCACAGAATTGAGAACTTTGTCCACTAAAGGTTGTGATGGATCTACATTAGATTCTGCTGGTTTAAACAACAGTGGAGGTGGTGCTTCATCGTCAGGAGCTAGTACACGGCTGCATTGCTTATCATTCCTTGAACCAGAACCTGAAGCTGTATCAGATAGTTTACTGCCTGCAACATCTGCTCGACATGTTGCCTCCGGTCACTCGACACACTCAGCCATCTCTGTCTCAGGGCACAGTCAGCGAGACACCTCAAATATTGTCAACACGCTGTTAGCTAATCCGCCCTCCACTGCTGTCATCCACAACTCCAGCTGTGCTGTCAAAAATAATGATACTGGGGGTGAAATAGACTCTGTTTCTTCTCCATCTACGAGCAGTAGAAGCCAGGCAGGTGAAAGGAGCTCGGATAATGTACCAGGCTTGTGGAGTGATTGGTTACAGGATATCCGCCAGCAGGGTCTGGGTGTAGACTCTTCGTCCCTTCCTGGCGACAACATGGCTGAAGATGTCAGTGCTGGAGAGAGGTGCAGCATCAACAGTGGTGCAGCGGCTGTGAGACTTTCCGCTGATTCCTCAGCTCATACTGCCAGGACCTCTACCAGTTCTGATGATAGTGATGTGGAAGTTGTCCTGGTGGAACCAAGGTAAGTGGCATTTGAATTTTTGGTTTTTATCTGTTTAAAACTAGTTAGAGGTTATAATATAAATTCATCATTATGCAGATGATACAGTATTAACAGCTGAAAATGCAGAAGACCTACAACTATAAAACATTGTTCTAGAGAGTGCAAAAACAGAAACAACAGATATGTCAAGGAAGAAGATACCTCCAAAATAGGACAGCAATAGAAGAGAAAGTGCTTAACCAAGGCAATAAATTCAAATATTTTGAAACATTCATAACATCTGATGGACAGTCTGTGACATAAATTGAGAGCAGAATTGGCCAGACAAAAGCTGCTTTTTTAGAAAATGAAATGTATCTAATGTAATGAATCACACTCATTAAACATTGGAAAATCAATACTAAAATGTTACGTCCATCCTGTTCTGTTGTATGGCAGTGAATCTTGGCATGTGAACAAAACAAATTAAGAACAGTTTGGAGGCAACTGAGATGTGGTTCTTGAGAAGAATGTTGAGAATACCTTGGACTGCCAGAATAATTAACAATGATTGCCTGGAAAGTAGAACATTATTTACAACGATAAGAAGGAGAAAAACAACATTCTTTGGTCACGTGTTGAGAAAAGGAGCACTAGAGAATATCGTGACGACCCAAAAGATCACCGGTAGAAGTGGCAGAGGCAGACCCAGAGAAATGATTGTGGATGGTTTAAGACAGTGGCTTGGAGAAATATCATCAGTGGAGTTGATCCAGAACACCGAGACGCATGGATGCCTACGCCAGCTGGCAAGGCACTTGATGATGATGCTCTGTTTAAAGCAAGTTTAGCGTTTGATCTCTTATCTTCTTCTTTTTATTCTCCTTGCCAGTGGTTTTCAGACGAGGAGACAAGCTTTTGTGAAGTCTGTGGTGCAATGCATCTCTTCCGCTGTTCCATGCAGCTTGATTTCTGTTGCAATGCCAACCGGGCCAAACCTGGTATCTCTCTACCGCAGATCTATCCAGCAGGGCTTAATTCTGGGTCTAGCATGTGCTCCGCAGATCACTGCCAGTTGTAGTAAGGATCTGTCCATCCTGAGACTCGGGCCTCTAGCCCGTGGTGATCCCCGTTTTCAAAATATTAGGCCCCTGAGTAAACTTAGTCAAAATACCCTGCTCTACAGCATCTAAAAAGTATGTCTGTAGCAGACATTTCTGTGCTACCTGTCTGTAGCAGACATTTCTGTGCTGCCTGTCTGTAGCAGACATTTCTGTGCTACCTGTCTGTAGCAGACATTTCTGTGCTGCCTGTCTGTAGAAGACATTTCTGTGCTGCCTGTCTGTAGCAGACATTTCTGTGCTGCCTGTCTGTAGAAGACATTTCTGTGCTGCCTGTCTGTAGCAGACATTTCTGTGCTGCCTGTCTGTAGCAGACATTTCTGTGCTATCTGTCTGTAGCAGACATTTCTGTGCTGCCTGTCTGTAGCAGACATTTCTGTGCTACCTGTCTGTAGCAGACATTTCTGTGCTATCTGTCTGTAGCAGTCATTTCTGTGCTGCCTGTCTGTAGCAGACATTTCTGTGCTGCCTGTCTGTAGCAGACATTTCTGTGCTACCTGTCTGTAGCAGACATTTCTGTGCTGCCTGTCTGTAGCAGACATTTCTGTGCTGCCTGTCTGTAGAAGACATTTCTGTGCTGCCTGTCTGTAGCAGACATTTCTGTGCTATCTGTCTGTAGCAGACATTTCTGTGCTATCTGTCTGTAGCAGACATTTCTGTGCTGCCTGTCTGTAGCAGACATTTCTGTGCTACCTGTCTGTAGCAGACATTTCTGTGCTATCTGTCTGTAGCAGTCATTTCTGTGCTGCCTGTCTGTAGCAGACATTTCGGCTCTACTGGCAAATCCGGACGAAGAATAAACAGCCTTGGACGACTTAGTCAGAGTTCTCTCCCGTCCCCGCACTCCAAACAGTGATCGGAAAAGCCACAACGAAACAAAGAAGACAGTCACGTCGACATTAGGGCTGCCAATGCTTGGTTGTGTCCCCCAGATCTGGGGTTTTTTTTCGACGCTGCAGGACAATTCTGGGTGTTTTTCTTTTTTGGGTGTTTTGTTTGTTCGTGTTTGCCGATTTGTATGCTTTAATGATCGATAAATTTGCGTGGTTAGGGGGGGGGGGGGTTAGGGTTAGGGAGTAGGATTAGGGTTAGCGGTAGGGTTAGGATTAGCGTTAGATTTGACAATCTGACGCCAGAGTTCCCTATAATCGCGCACAGTCCCATACACATACACAAAAAATCGAGGGCCTCTGGATGCTGGTCACACGCACAATTCGCCAACGATTGGGGGCACCAGCCGCACGCTATTGGCGTCATATTTGGCAGTGGCACCACTCCCACAAACATCATATTGTCGGCCAGTATTTCGAAATCCTACGTCAAAATTTTCACATCTAACCCTAACCCTACCCCTAAACCCTACCCCTAACCCTACCCCTAACCCTACCCCTAACCCTACCCCTAACCCTAACCCTACCCCTAACTCTAATCCAACAACCGCACGATGATGCCACGATGTCTCACGCAACCGAACACAGCCCTACACGCAACCGCAGGATGATAGGTAAGTGTGTCGTTTGTTTCGTTTGTTTTCCGATTACTGTTCGGAGTGCGGCGACGGGAGATAACTCTGACTAAGTCGTCCAAGTCTGTTTATTCTTCGTCCGGATTTGCCAGTAGAGCCGACATTTCTGTGCTGCCTGTCTGTATTAGACATTTCTATGCTGCCTGTCTGTAGCTGCAATTTTTGTGCTACCTGTCTGTAGCAGACATTTCTTTGCTCCCTGTCTGTAGCAGATCTTTCTGTGCTGCCTGTCTGTAGCAGACATTTCTTTGCTGCCTGTCTGTAGCAGACATTTCTGTGCTGCATGTCTGTAGCAGACATTTCTGTGCTGCCTGTCTGTAGCAGACATTTCTGTGCTGCCTGTCTGTAGCAGACATTTCTGTGCTGCCTGTCTGTAGCAGACATTTCTGTGCTGCTGTCTTTCTCTATCCCTCCTTCCACAGATCTTTCCACTGGTCACAACATTTTATATTTTCCCTCTTCTCATAACATGGCCGAATAATGATGACTGTCTTCTTCCGATGTCTGTGATAAGTTATCTTTGGGCTCCCGACTCTTTCAAAACCTCTTGGTTGCTCTTTTTGGCTGTGAAACCACATTTCTGAGGCCTCATGGAATTGTTTTGACCCAAGCATTGTCCAGGACTCGCATTGTGGTCCAGTACAAGCCTTAATATAGGGTCTGTTTCTGTCAGGCCTCCAGGACTCGCATTTGTGTCCAGTACACAGCCTTAATATAGGGGTCTGTTTCTGTCACCTGAGAAGGTCGATTGGGTCTTCGGGATTCTGTCCTAGATCTATATGGGAAGTGTTTCAGTGGGTTCTAATGGCTGCTCTAATATGAGTTTAATTTTTTTATTAAGTGCATTCTAATCATCTCATATAATCAACCAAATTTTTCTTCTTCCTTCTTCACTGCTCTTTCCATTTACCTCATGGAGATTTTGAGAGGAGATGTAAGGATTGTCTGTGTGCTTTTTCAAATGTGTTGATGTTAATCTCTTCAAGGTTGTTCTTTATGCCATCGTTCGATCCATATTTTGCATGGGCTTCCAATTGTTGTGTTCTTCAGCATTGCTGTGTATGGCTGTTGGTACTGTGGCATTCATGTTCAGTGGCCAAACCATTTCATCTGTTGTTCTTTTATGATTTGGATAAACTGGTTTCAATCCTTGTCTTCTGATTTCTTCATTTTAATGTATCTTAACTTATTATTTGATAGCTCTTTGAAGACATACCATCTCTGTTACGATTTTGAGCTCATTAGTTGTAAAAAATGCACATATTTAGCACTGATAGCATACAGTTGGCCAGTGAATAGTTCTGGTTATTTTGCCTTTGTATTTAGAACTTATGGTAAAGGTAGTCACTCCTGTGGCAGCTACTAACATACGAGTGTAAAGTATTAGTCTGTGTCATAACATGGGTTCTAGAGCCTCATTTTGTCAGATCTGTCACTACTGTCTGTATGTACCACTTTTTAGAGCGGTGTAGACGGGCAGTCATGAGCCTGAGGATTGAGTACCGAACGGCTAGTGCTATCACCACTGACTGTACAGGCTAGGATGTTTTATTTTGTTCCTGATAGAGAAACTCTTATAACCTTGCTGAGGGGTTGAATATGGGCCTGCTGCATGAGAGCCCGACCTAGAGCCTCATTTTGGGAAGAGAAACAATAGACTTACTGCACCTCTAGTAAACTTGCTGTAAAAAAAAATTAATTAGGGGTTTTCCCTTCAAAGTTGGAGGTGCGTCTAACTGAGAGGTGAGGAACCAACAGTCTGCACACAAGTAAGCCATATCAGTAACATAAATGTGGCGGGCAAAGCTCAAATTGTGGAACAATATCAAAGTCCAAGAGTGGGTTTTGAACCAGAACTTTCTGTCGGAGTCTACAGGCAATGAATACAAAAAAAGAAAAAAGACATTCTAGGTTGTGACATTGAAAGTGGGATGGTCATTTTCCTTCTTAACGCCTTTCCTTCCTAGAAAGCTATGAAAATTGTCAGATGAACATTTTCTTTGGGATTGTGTTGACCCCAGTGCCTTGCTGGTCAGAAAAGATGCGGCTTCATCAGCTGGGAATTCAACTCGTATCATTGTCTAGGCAAGCATGTGCGCATTAACCAGTATAGAATCTCCTTCACACATGTATAAGAATGCTATCTCTGTAAACCACTAATCTTCTTCGTCAATAGGAAGAAAGAAGCAGTATATAAATATAGCATTTGAGCACACATATATTAAATAATAGTAAATGCTACAGGACGCATTTTAGGAATGAGTTAATTTGAACATAAAACTAATAAATATGTCAGAGACAAAAATATACAAATTTGCAGGGCACCAGGAGCCTCTTTTGGCAGTGGTGAAATGTCACAAGCTTGCTTGGTTTGCGCACGTGGTGAGACATGATTCGATTGAAGAGACTACTTCAAAGAACATTAGGGGGTGGTCAAAGAAGAGGAGAGCTAAGAAAAACCTGGAATGACATCAACAAATGGACAGGACTAAGTTATCATACACTTATTCATCAAGCAGAAGACGGAGAAAGATAGCGAGTTTTATGTGCTAGTGCTTCTATCAATACACCTCCACGACCCTAATGGGTCAAGGGTTATGATATATTAAATAGGCATCTGAGTTCAGATATCTTGGAACAACATTTGCCGAAGATGGTAAATTGGACAAAGAAATTAACATCCAGTGCAGTAAAGCAGGCCAAGTATTTGGACAGCTAGGCTCTCCCCCACCCCAACCTAAGTCAGTCCCAATCAGCACAAAGAAACAACACACCAGAAAGACAAAATTAATGTTGATTAAATCATGAAGTATTTTAGTATAGTTCAAATTGTTAATTAATTTGGTAATAGAAATGTTAGTCTCCCCACCAACTGCCCATATACACACTAGCTCACTTCCATTTAGTCAACCTTCAGCCTAGCTCACTTCTGATTGATCAACCTTGAGCCACCCGACTTTGGCAAAAGGTGATGGGGGGTGTTCTCTTATGCCGTTGTTATCACGTCTTCTGTATTTCAGCATTCCAGCGCCTTTAACACAACAAAACTTTTGACAAACTCGACCTAACACACAACCCCTTTAGAGGGTGATGAAACCTGTGTCACAGGCATTCTCTTTCTGGGAATAAAAAAGTAAATGCCAGACATCCCAGAAAGCAAGCAACAGTGTGACACACCCATAATGTCCAGCAGGTAAGACCAGTTCAAGAAAGTTATCAATGGAATGTGACCTACTTTCCGTGTGGAGACTAATGTTTGGTTGACCATTAATTTCATTGTACATTTTATATTTACAGGAATAGCCGTGCAACGGTTGTTGTGGATTTGACAGAGTCTGATGAGGGTAAGTCAGACGGCCAGATTTTGTCACATGTGTATAGTATACCATAGATAATTATTGAATTAATAAACAAGCTGAACAATTTCTTGAGGCCTCGGAGATGTGTTGATTTCACAATAGAATCTTAAAAATTCACTGGACAGCCAAAAAGAGCAACCCTGATGTTTTGAAAAGGGGGTAGCGGGGGGCTCGAAGAAAACTTAACACAAATATCAGAAAGAGGTGGCCTACATTTGTTGGGGGTCATGTTATGAGAAAAATATGTTCGCACACTTCAAAGATCAGTAGAAAAAGATAATGGTGAAGACAGTGTGAGAAAATTCTTGCCATTGACTGGCCTTTGTCATGGCATTGGGGAGTGGGGGAGGAGGAGGAGGAGGAGCCTGTAAACTGAAAAGGCTGTTGAGGTTCGCAATTTGTAGAGAGTCAGTCACAGCAGTCTGCAAAACACCTGATGGTGTATGGTTTGCCAGTACCAATGTAAATAACTTGATTATAGAACAGCGGGAGTTGGAGGTTATTGCACCGCTGTTATTGCCATAGGTAAGTGTGGGATACTTTTTACACCAGTTGCATATAATTCTAGACTCATTCATGTTTTTATAGGCCAGTTGGCACTCGGTGGGTAATGTCAGCATCAGACTAGCTGCCTTTATTTCCTATGACATTACCTGGTGCCCATTGAAGGCTAGGCCCCACCTGGAGACAAAGTCAGTTTTGCAAAAATGTTCAGCTCGATGCAGATGTTCCCTGTTGGGGTTCTGGGGGCCCTATTTATTATAGGGAAAACAAGAATAGACCCACTGACTCTCCCAAAAGCATGTCGTTATCATTCGACTAATTGGGAGCTTCATTTGAAGTTGGAGTGCATCTGAATGAGAGGCAAGGAACCAGCAGTCTGCATACAGAGTAATCAGATCTGTCAAATGGATGCACACACAACACTTAGCAGAAGTGGACGAACATCCAGAACTTTCTGCCTGAGTTTTCAGCTGCTGAATGTAAAGCAGAAGAAAACATTTGCTGACAGAATAAGTTAAATGACTTTGCTTTTTTTTATGGGAAAGCCTGTCATAGTCACCATCCACGATGTTGTTGTTCAGGTTTTGCAGTATGATACAGGATGATGCTGATGTAAATCTAACCTTTAGAAAAATTTGGCAGCTCGGTTAAAAAAAAAACATTTTTCTAGAGATCCTACTGTAGTAGGAATTTATGGTGGCAGCATACACAACAGAAGTCTGTCAATCATCAGTTGTTTTTTAACCGAAGCTGCTAAATCTTCTAAAAGTAAGGTTTACTCAGCATCATCATGTATCAAACTGAAAAACCTGAACAACAACGAATATTTGTAAACAGGCTAAAACGTTTATTGAGAGGGTCAGGTCGGTATGTTGGCAGATAGACTGGCCGGTTTTGCGCCGCTTGGTGGTGAACTGATGTATGTCAGGCTGGATGTTGTGAGGTTTCTTTGGGAGCGATTGAACAGTGCCGAGGCACAGATAGATCATTACATTCTGGGGAGAAAGGCGCTGCGAGGAGTTACAAGGGGATCTGGCCCGCGCTGAACACTCAAGGGAAAAGCGAGACCAATATACAATCAGACAGCCACTGGTGCCATTGGAATTGGAACTCTATGCTTGCTGCTGAAGATGGGGACAGAGCGCTTATGGGAATGTCCTGAGTCCTGTGATGTCGATTCAACATTCAAGCTACTTGGTTGCCACTTGTGCCCTGTTCATGGATTTACCTCAGCACAAGCTCATGAGATGGCAACTCTTCTCTAGACCTGCGCTCATGTTAGTTCGAGGCCTTCCATTTGATTCCACTGTGCGGGCTTCAGTTTACCATTGGCTTACCAAGATCTAGGCTAGCTTACCAAGATCTTAACCAGCTTACCGAGATCTTATTGACCTTAAAAATCCCATTTATTTTTTAAACCGGAACTGAAGTCTGAGAGGAACTTACTTATTACTTACTTAATCACTTTTCTTCTACCTTGGGGTGTAGAGGTTTTCCAGAGAGATGGCCAGACGTCTCTATCGGCAGTTTTCTTCCTGGCTTTGTTCCATTCCAGTCCTCTGTCGGTTGTTGTCTTCCCAGTGGACCCTGGCTGAAAGGAGCTTACAAATTCTAATCTGATAGTCTATAAAACACAGCATTGAATTAAATTTTCTCTTAATCTTTCAACATTTGGATTGATTTTTCCCTCAGAGCACATGGCTTCGGTACTGGATGAACACAATTCCTCTGGGACATCAACCAGCGGATCTGATCAGTCACAAGAGATCAGAGAAAACGAGAACCCATCAGCTTCATGTTTGTCTTCTCCAATGTACAGACAGACATCTTTCTTGCAGAACAGGAGCCCAAGAGTTCTACACGTGAGTGTTATTCTTGGTTTACCATTCTTGCCCCTCAGATGTTTAATCTAAAAAAAAAAAAAAAAAAAACACCCTTTTTAAAATAAAAAAATAAAAAATGCCTTCTACTGTTCCTCCAAAATTTTACCCTAGGAAACTAGAAGTAGTGAGAAAGCACCATTTCTCATTATGCGTCGGCCATATCCATTAGCATTCTCACCTCTTGATTCACTTAAATTTGTTTTGTTTTTCTTAAAAGCTCTGCATTAATGATTTTGTCACACTTTTTCATTTCCTTAGTCCTGCACAGGCACAGTTAATGAATATTTGGTGTTTATAAATAATTACTGTAGCAGTTTTCCCTGTGTTATTGGGGCTCTTAGGGGAAGTAAGGATTAGTAACACGGCTCCCTGCCAGGTATGTTCTAAGAGGCAACTCCTTCTCTTCTTGGCGTTTACTGGCTGTGAACCCCGGCGGAAAGTTTCGAGACTTTAGTCTTGTTTCAGAACTTGAGTTTTGCATGCACATCCATTTCACACATCTGATTTTTATGCAGACTAATGGTTCCTTGCCCCTCAGACAGATGTACTTCAACCTTGGAGGAAACACCCCTAATTAGTCAACCTTTACCTTATGCTTGAAGTGGGGGAGAATTGTGTCTACAACCGTCCCCCTCCCCCCAGCAACAGCACACAGTGTGACTCCTTCAGTCCATATTCTTCTAGGTCTCCTTCTGCATTTTATGTAGAATGTCTAAAACCTAGAGAGTATCTGAAGCCTACTGAATGTATAAACCTATACAAAGTTTGAAGTTTACATGTATAAACCTACAGAATGTCTGAAGTTTGCATGTATGAACCTACAGAATGTTTGAAGTTTACATGTAAAAACCTACATAATGTTTGAAGTTTACATGTATAAACCTACAGAATGTTTGAAGTTTACATGTATAAACCTACAGAATGTTTGAAGTTTACATGTATAAACCTACATAATGTTTGAAGTTTACATGTATAAACCTACAGAATGTTTGAAGTTTACATGTATAAACCTACAGAATGTTTGAAGCCTTCTGAATGTATATACATATTATGTATAAACCTTTAGAACGTCTAAAACCTACAGAGTATCTGAAGCGTGTGCAATGTATAAACCTGTGGAATGTATAAACCTTAATAATGTCAGAAGTCTACGGAATGTATAAACCTGTAGAATGTGTAAACATACAGAATGTCTGAAACATACAAAATGTATAAACCCCTGGAATGTCTGAAACCTATGGAATGTTTCAACGTATAGAATGTCTAAACATACAGAATATCTTAGCCTACTGAATAAATCTTCAGGATGTCTAAACTATGTACTGTTGCAGGTGCCAGAGTCTCGGCGCTGGAGTGATGGAGATTCTGATCAGCACCCTTCATGCCGTCACAGGAGGTGTCCCCCGGACAACAGATCCACTGATCCACACAATGTTGCCAGAGGTTGTGGTCACTGTGGCTGCGCGGGATGTGACATTTTGCTGGTGAGTTATAGATGTTTTCGTCTTCTTGAGTTTCAATAAGAAGAGTAGAAATACTGACATCTTGAAAGATCTGAGCATGAAGGAAGATTGGCTAATAAACAGCATCATGCCCTGGAAGCTGCAATATTTTGGTCATATTAAGCACCAGCACGGATTGAACAAAAAAATTATGTCAGAAAGCATGGTACCAAGAAGGAGGGGCAGGGGCCGACCAACATGAAGATGGGTACAGGATATAAGTGACTCCTTGAGTATGAAAGTACATGAGGCGAGAGACCAAGTTTCTTTCAGGCAAACCGTGATGAGAGTGACGTTCTGCAAAGGACCTACTATAAGATGATGATGATGAGTTTTAATGAAAACTAATTGAGACACGTACTGAAATGGTTCGGCTACCTAGTGAGAGTGAATCCGACAAAAGCATATATCTTAGAAAGGGCTCCACTGAAAGGCATTCGAGATCTAGAAGAAAATGGAGTGAGGAAGTCACTGGCAGCCTGAGACTTCACAACATTTCAGCATACTAAGCAACTGAACAAGAACGGGCTCTGTGCCTTTTTATTGAAACTTCTTTTTTTTCTTTGCTTTTGGTTTTGAATGCTCAGATCAGACCATCAGGTGGGTTGCCTCTATGAACTCGCATGTCAGCTGCAGGTCCTTCATGGTTTCCCATAGCTTACTCTGCACACTTTGCTCTTGAGGCCAGGTGTCTTTTCAAAGTGGGCAGGTCTGCAGAATGTGCTCAGGTGTTTGTGGTCCTGTTTGACACGCACACTGGGGGGACTGTACAATCTGTATTTTATGCATGAGGTAGTTGAGCCTGCAGTGTCCTGTTCGTAGACGGAAAATTGTTGTGTTGTATATTATTTTCTGCTGAGTCTGCTGATGGGGTCTTGTGGATGTTTAAATAAATAATTGAAACTAAAATCCTGAAGTAGCTCATGCTGTGTGGCATGGGTAAGGATGTCTGTTCACAGCGTTCTGTCTTTTGTACAGACCACAGCACCTACCAGTTCGTCTATACAATATAAGTCTAACCCTATATGCCCAATTCATCTGAAGGTGTGAAAGAGGGTCCTGTTACTGTTTACACTCTGACGCCTGAAGTAGGTAATATTCTTTGCTTCCTTTTTAAGCCCAGGGAGAAAAATTGGGGAACGTACCAAGTATTGATTCTTCCATTTTGAAAGACACACAAATGAGACTCACTGCTCTGCAGCATGGAACAGGCAGACAAATGATCCGCATCCACTGGGTGGTGAATTGATACATGACATGGCAGATGTGTTCAGCACCCTTTGGGAACAAGCAACGGAATCAGTAGAGAAAGAAGATTATTATGACCTGGAGAGAATGAGGCACCTGGGTGTAACCATAGGGTCTGGCCGGCTCACGACACTCAGAGGAAAGGCAAGATGGACATATAACCAGATTGTGACCAGTACCATCAGTACTGGAACTCTGGGCTGGCTGCTGAGGATGAGGACGGAGCACGCATGGAAATGTTTTGTGATGTCAGTTCTTGACTTAACTCACTCAGCTGAACCCTGTAGCATGCATGTTGTAAAAGGGACTGAACTCACTCAGCTCAACCCTGTAGCATTCATGTTGTAAAAGGGACTGAACTCACTTAGCTCAACCCTGTAGCATTCATGTTGTAAAAGGGACTGAACTCACTCAGCTCAACCCTGTAGCATGCATGTTGTAAAAGGGACTGAACTCACTCAGCTCAACCCTGTAGCATTCATGTTGTAAAAGGGACTGAACTCACTCAGCTCAACCCTGCAGCATTCATGTTGTAAAAGGGACTGAACTCACTCAGCTCAACCCTGTAGCATTCATGTTGTAAAAGGGACTGAACTCACTCAGCTCAACCCTGTAGCATGCATGTTGTAAAAGGGACTGAACTCACTCAGCTCAACCCTGTAGCATTCATGTTGTAAAAGGGACTGAACTCACTCAGCTCAACCCTGTAGCATTCATGTTGTAAAAGGGACTGAACTCACTCAGCTCAACCCTGCAGCATGCATGTTGTAAAAGAGACTGAACTCACTCAGCTCAACCCTGCAGCATTTATGTTGTAAAAGGGACTGAACTCACTCAGCTCAACCCTGCAGCATTCATGTTGTAAAAGGTTTGCTAAAATGTTATGCATTGAGCTGTAAGCTACAGATTTCACAGCATAGATTTTAGCTGCAACATAACTAACCGCCCTTGTCAGGACAAAAGATGACCCCTGATATGAGCACACAAAAAAGACAGGTAGGTCAGGTCAGTTGGTTGGTTAGTTAGTTAGGTAGTTGGTTAGTTAGTGGATGGAATATCCTCATTGCACATGGAACCATTTAGTCCGTAAGTGTTGGGATTCCACTCCTCAGTAAATGCCACTGTTTGTTGCAGCTGCAGACAGCAATTCTGTGTTGTTTTCTTATCCTTGGGTTTCTGTATAGTACTGATGTCTCACAAGTAGAAATATGGCTTAGTCAGGTACAGTGAAGAAAAAACAATTTTTGATTCAATCAGTCCTCATCATGCTCGGAGGCACAAAAGGCAGAGACAAACTGTACAGTGGAGGAAAAATAATTTTGGATTAAATCAATCAATCAGTCCTCATCACGCCCGGAGGCACATAAGGCAGAGACTGTTGCCACTCGATGTGATCCTGAGCCACCCTCTCTATCTCCAGTTTTGTCCTTCATGTAGCCTTGAGTTCACCCTTCAAGGTTCACCTCCAAGTGCCTCTGGGCCTGCCTCTTCCTTGTTGTCCTTGTGGTGTCCATTGCATTGACTGTCTCTGCCCTTTCTCTTTCTTCATTCTGAGGACGTGTCTAATCCACCTTCATCTTCATTTTTTGATTTCTGAATTTACATCTTTTAAGTCTGTCATTTGTTGTAATCTAGAATTGCTGATTTTATCTTCCCATGTAAACCCCAACATTCTTCTGAAAAATCTTCCTTCAAAACCTCTGAGCATGCTCTCTATCGTTCTGTTTTCCACGTTTCTGCTCCATAGAGGAGATTTGGGATTGCTAATGGTTTGTGTTTTCTTTTCCCACCAAGGACCCCCATGCAAGGCAGGAGAGGTTTAAAGCACTGGCCTCTAATGAAAGAGCCCATGATCCTGTTGATCCCAACCTGAGATGCTCAGACTGCGACAGAGGCCCAGGCAGACCCGGTGGTAGCCACGACTGTAACCATGCACACGGTGGTGCATCATCATCCAGCACAAACCCAGCTTCAAGTGAACAGCTTCACTACCATACACAGCGCCAGCCACCCATGCACCATCATCACTATCATCATCATCTTTACCATCCACGGCCTTCGAGCTTTTCCTACTACCCGGATCCGTTTGGGTTGCAGTCGGCTCCGAGATCGTACTGGTGAGTCTTGTTCAGTTCTCTTTGTTTGGTGTTTGTTGTCACCTTTCTGTCATTCCAGGCTATAGGGTTCATCCTTCCCATTGCGCAAAGGCTGGGCAGTATTGTACACCATATGTTTCCTATGCATCTTGATTCCTCAGTCAGCCTGCCTTGTTTACTCCAAAGGAAAGGTAAGACTACTATGTTTTGAACAAAGCACATTATAGAAGCTGCTGGATCAGAAGAGCAGCTCCCCATGTGGGTTTAGCGGGCCCTATCATGGGGAAAGCAAGAATAGACCCATGTTGTAGGAGTGGACTAGTTGTGAGGGCATCTTTTGAAGTCGAAGTGCATCTGTCTAAGAGGCAAGGAATCAACAGTCTGCAAACAAATAAGCCAAGATTTGTAAAAAGGACGTGCATGCAACACAGGTTTTGGAACAAGACCAAAGTCCAGAGGTGGACGAACAACCAGTTTCTGGCCCATGACAATCCCCATTGTCAACATTCTGTCCTCTGGGTTAAATAGCGCTGCCTTAGCGGATAGCACGGGATATCAACTGAAAAGAAGTGGCTCTTGGATGGTACAAGCAGAAGTCACTCTAAGAAATATTTAAATGACTGACAGAATAGCACATGGTGAGGAATGCATCACAGTTTTGTCCAGCAACACAGCCTTGCTACAAGTGATAGCTACCTTGGACCGAGGGTGCTGGGAATGGATAGCTGGTGAAACAGAGTCAGCGGTGCAAGAGCTGATCAATGAAAATTCATGCCCAAGTAACATCATTATATACACTGATGGGTCTGTAGTGAGGGGTAAAAAGAGTAGGGCTACAAAGCCGCTACATCCAGTAAGAGAATGGCTGGAGGTGGAGGTGGTAACGGCAGCTTTCCCATAGCTTGAGGGCAGCACAATCGGACATGTAATTGTAGTGGATTCTTGGGCCCCATTTTAAGGAAAACAAGAATAGATCTATGTGCCTTCCCTACAAGCATGTCGTAAGAGTCGACTAATTTGGGGCTTCCTTCAAAGTCAGAGTGCATCTGCCTTAAAGGCAAGGGAACCAGCAGTTTGCATGTTGATAAGCCATATCTGAATCGAATTTACATACAACACGGATTCTGGAACAAGACTTAGGTCCAGAGGTAAAAGAACTTTCTGCTGGAGTTTACAGCTGGTGAACATAAAGAAGAAGTCATAGCCGACTCATAGAGCATGCTTCGGAAAGCTGAAATTGGCTTGCTTACATCACTTGATTAGGACTCATATCAGGAGCATATAATGGGTTTTTTGTCCAGGATATTCAGGTGTGCGAGGTAACGAGCAGGCTGATAGATTGTCTGCTGCCACTCCTCTTTGTGGTGAGTTACTTTATGATAGACAGGGCAGTGGCACAGACAGTGAGTCCTTACATTGAATAATTCAGTTTAGGCTGTGGGAAAGGGGTGGGGGCGGAGTAGAGGATCTGGAAGATAGTCAGCAGTTGAGTTGGATCAAGAATTGAAAACACAGCACTCGGGGCATTCCCATGTGTACTCCGTCCTCATCTTCAGCAGCCAGCGCAGAGTTCCAGTACTGATGGTATCAGTCACAATCTGGTTATATGTCCATCTTGCCTTAACTCTGAGTGTAGTGAAACAGACAGACCCTCTGGTTACACCCGGGTGCTCATTCTCTCCAGGCCATAATAATCTTGTTTCTCTACTGATTCCACATCTGCCTTGTCATGTATCAATTCACCACCCAGTGGTGCAAATCCAGCTCATCTGTCTGCCCGTTAAATACCCACTACACCAGCATGGCTTGGAGAAATTATCCAAAGTATTCAACACTTAGGGGGGGAAACATAGACAGGATTTTAATCAGGTTGCAGCTGATACTGTTAGCATATGGACTCTTCATTGGCTACTATAGAAAGGGACAGTGGGGAGTGTCCCAAGTGTAGTAATGTCAATTCTTGATTGATTCATTCATTTATTTCAACCGTCTCTCTTATGCTGCTGTTCTCGACCCTGTTACTTGTCGTATTGTTTGTAACGTTTTGGTCACATTTTGTAGGTGGTTACTTTCTGTTCCTGTGATCCACTTATTGTCCATGTCTAGCACTGATAGTGGGAATGAGGCTGCTATTAATCAGTTTTTAGTTTCAGCTGATTAATAGTTTTTTGTTTTTTGTTTGTTTATTTAACTGTGCAGTATTCCAGTTATACAATTGTCCATTGTGTATTTTTTTCATCTGTTAACTCATTAATAGTTTTAATTTTTCAAGATTTACCATTTTTCTTCTTCTTCATGTTCACTGGCTGTAAACTTCGGCGGAAAGTTCTGGTTGTTCATCTTCTTCTGGATTCTTGTCCTGTTCCAGAACCTAAGTGTTGTGTGTACATCCATTTCCCAGATCTGACTCATTTGTATGCAGGCTATTGGTTCCTTGCCTCTCAGGCAGATGTACTCCGACTTCGAAAGAAAACACCCATTTAGTTGGCTCCTGCGACATGTTTGTTAAAGAGGCAGTGGGTCTGTTTTTGTTTTCTCCACAATGAGGCCCCTGAACCCACATGAGCAACTTGTCAAGTATTCGTGATATTGTGAAGCTAACCTTTTTTGTTTCATATCTTTTCATGATTCTGCTTTTCATTTGGTTTGATATCTTTTATGATTCTGCTTTTTATTTGGTTTGATATCTCTTATGGTTCTGCTTTTCATTTGGTTTGATGTCTTCTATGATTCTGCTTTTAATTTGGTTTGATATTTTTTCATGATTCTGCTTTTCATTTGCTTTGATATCTTTTATGATTCTGCTTTTCATTTGGTTTGATATCTTTTATGATTCTGCTTTTCATTTGGTTTGATATCTTTTATGATTCTGCTTTTCATTTGGTTTGATATCTTTTTATGATTCTGCTTTTCATTTGGTCTGATATCTTTTTATGATTCTGCTTTTCATTTGGTTTGATATCTTTTCATGATTCTGCTTTTCATTTGGTTTGATATCTTTTATGATTCTGCTTTTCATTTGGTTTGATATCTTTTCATGATTCTGCTTTTCATTTGGTTTGATATCTTTTCATGATTCTGCTTTTCATTTAGTTTGATATCTTTTATGATTCTGCTTTTCATTTGGTTTGATGTCTTCTATGATTCTGCTTTTCATTTGGTTTGATATCTTTTCATGATTCTGCTTTTCATTTGGTTTGATATCTTTTCATGATTCTGCTTTTCATTTGGTTTGATATCTTTTCATGATTCTGCTTTTCATTTGGTTTGATATCTTTTCGTGATTCTGCTTTTCATTTGGTTTGATATCTTTTATGATTCTGCTTTTCATTTGGTTTGATATCTTTTCATCATGTATTCATTTGTGCTGTGCTCCTTTTTCAGCCCTGCACCACACACGCCGAGACAGGCATCGACTGAAAATTCATTTGGGCCAAACCTCAGAAGTATGAATTTGAGTGCGCCAGGTGGGGTTGATGTTCTCGTCTGTCCCAGGCCTTTGCCACATCAAGGTCAGCGGTCTTTGAATTATTCCGTTATTTCAGAAAATGAAATCAGTTTTCACTGTTGTAAATTTGAACAGATTGTAGTTCATTACCTGACATATTTCATGTCAGGGGCATATTACAGTAACGAAGAAAAAAGATGAAGCAGATATGTTGATCTTTTCAACATCCTGTAAAGTTGCAGTGCATCTGCCTTATAGATGAGAAATCAACAGCCTGCATACAGATAAGCCAGATATGTAAAACAGGTATGCCTGCAAACTTAAGTACTGGAACAAAACAAGTGTAAAAAAAAAAGTGGATAAACAGCCAAAACACGTTTGCCAGTTTATACAGTATGAATGCTTGTTGTTGTTGTCGATCCAGCGGCTCAGTGCTATGTAGTGGAATTTACATGTTTTCACAGGCTGTTTTCTCTTCGTACAAGGTGTTCCGCTTGTCTGGTCGCAGAGGGAGTAACATTCTTCTAGTCTCGTTGAGTTTTGGACACTCAAAGATATTATGGTCAACAGTTTCGTGGGGGTAGTTACATGGCTGGCACTCTGGGGAGTGTTGTGGCTGTATTTTGTTTAGCCTTGAAATGTGCCCACTGTAACTGACAAATAGACAATGAAAGAAGAGTTAATAGGAACCCACCATTTACCCCCCCTTTTCTACTTTGATGGCAGATGGAAACTTCTCTCCTTCGATCTCTTCGTTGTTTAATTGATTTATGTCATGTTTTCTTTATCTTCTCCTATGATGTCTTGTTTGTCACTGTTTTCACATGCTTTATTGTGTTCATTTCAGTATTCTCCCCCACCCTTGTATTTTCCCTTACATTTGTCCTCACCATTGTCTTCTCCATCGCCTTTGTCCTCTCGATTGGCTTGTTTGACACGTTTGTCTTTACGGTTGCTGTCTTTGTTTTCTGCATTTTATTTCTTGCTAATCTTCAGCATTATCTTTTTGTTTTCTTCTTCATTTTCATGATTACATCAAACAGCACTGTGGTTTAGACAGAACTGTGGAGAGGACTGGTTAAATTCCAAGTGTATTTGTTCCTATATGTTTAACTACACTGAGTGGGGCTGAGTATTCTCAGGGTATGGTTTCATCTCGAATGCTGGAGGTCCCGGGTTCAAACCCCAGTGAAGGCTAGGATTTTTTTTCACGTGGGCTTCTGGTAATCCCCCCCTGGTCTCTGGGTAGTAAGACCAAATGTGTATTGTTGGCCACGTAACAAAATCCCTTGGCAGTTGGAAATTGAAAAAGAGAAGCCTAGCCGTGCTGCCCGGGCAAGATTTGGAGTTGAAAATCTACCCAAAGTATTTCAGGATCCTCGCTGGTGCAACAGAGTTTATGCACTGCGCTGAAATTTTCAGACTCAGGCTTGAATAAGGGCTTATTTTTTTTTTTTTTATTAAGAGGAGGAGGAGGTTTGCGGAAGGGTCATCTGCCCTGTCTAACACTTGACTATTTAAAGTCATTTAGACATCTAAAATCCCCTTCCTTCTCCTGTGGGTACCAAGCTGCTGTTAATTACATTACAAGCCAAATTTGGTTGTTTATTTCCATATCCAGGACTTTGTCTGGTATTAATTAAACTCAGACACTAGTTCAGATTCTCATTTGGAGGTGGACTGTTGAGATTCAAACTCACACTCATCACAAAAACGTCTATCCACAAGGAACTTGTGACCTGATCTAAAATAGATGAATGATTCAAGAATGTCAACCAGTCAGATTTATTGCAGCAGGGAGGTGATGTATGGTGTATGGTAACAGGTTTATTGCAGCAGGGAGGTGATGTATGGTGTATGGTAACAGGTTTATTGCAGCAGAGAGGTGATGTATGGTGTATGGTAACAGGTTTATCCTGAAAATAACAGTTGAATGGCTAGGTGCTTTTTTTTCATCGGCTGTAAACTCTGTTGGAAAGTTCTGCTCGTTTATCCACTTCTGCTCCTGAACCCGAGTATTGCATGCTCATCAGTTTGACAGATTGGACAATTGTATGCAGACTGTTGGTTTCTTGCTTTTCAGGCAGATGCTCTTCAACTTTGAAGGAAACTCTTAGTTGACTCTTACTATGTGTATTGGGTCTATTTTTGTTGTCCTCCTAATGGGGCCTCAGAACCCACATAAGGAGGCTTGGTGCCATTTTTTTTTTTTTAACAGGAGAGGTAGCTAGAAAAGTGCTCAATAAATTTTGATTACAAAATGTGGCCATGCCTGTAATAACTTTAAACCATTAACTTTCACAGTGTCGTCAGCCATTTCTTTTACCTAATGAATCTACCCGTGTGAGTTCCGGCAGATTCCGGGACCTCATTTTGGAGAGAAAAAAAGAATCGACCCACTGCCTTCTAACAAGCATGTCGTAAGAGCCAGCTACTTAGCGTTTTGCTGAAATTATATATGTTGGACCAAAAGGCGCAGATATCGCAGCCTAGCTGTAGACCACAAAACAACATGCCAACCACCCTTTTGGGGCAGACACAGAAGAAGAAGAACTAATGAATTTATCATTCCTCTACAGCTCCTGTTCAACACCAGCCGCCCCAGGCTCATATCCACCACCACTATCATCCTCCCACCGGCGGCATGGATTTATACCAGAACAGGCATCGCCGACGACACTGCCGCCATGAAGCTGACGATGAGTACTTTCAGCGACGGGCTGCGGCTCGAGATCTCCCACCGTGTGGCCATGCTTCACCTTGTAGAGTTTCACTGTGCCGTGTCAGTCATGGTCCTCTCAACCCTCTGACCACGCCGTCCAGTCCAGCGTCGAGGTTTGCCGTATGTGATCCCTGTTCTTGCAGGTAACCTACTTATGGTTGCTTTATGGTGTATAGTGGGTTTTCCTAGCAGCTGTTTGGTTGTATGCAAGGAGTATGTTGTGAGGGTTGATAGTTGAGTTGAGTTTATAACTGACATGTTGTTCGTCCATCACGAGTGGTGCAGACCACTTTCCTCCAAAGTAGTAAAGATCAATGATTATGAGTAGAACGGTGGCTGATTGGTCCAATATGAAAACCTGGAAAGTGCTTGAGCAGTGCGGACAACAGATGGAAGTCACAGTAAGTGTGGGATTTGCAGTACGATTCTTTCTAGTCTGCCTCCGTTTCTCTGCCTGTGCAATCTCTGTTGACGGACAGGCTGATGCACCATGTCTGAGGGATATACGCCATCCAGAACGGTCTTGTGCAGCAGCCTCCCACGTTGCTGTGTTGATGTCAAAACAATTGAGAGCAGTCATCAGTGTGTCCTTATAGCACTTTTTCTGTCCTCCCTGGGACCTCTTCCCTTGCTGGAGCTCGCCATAACATACTCTCTTTAGGAGGCGATAGTCTGGCATGCGGGTTAGGTGACCAGCCCAACGCAGCTGACAATTCGTCAGTATCGTATGGATCCTAGGCAGGTTTGCCTTATCAAGAACCACAGTATTTGGCATCGTATCTTGCCATTTGATTTTGAACAGCTTTCTGAGACATACAGCATTTGGGACATTTCCGTGAGCATGCCATCTCCATCTTCAGCAGCCAGAACATATCTGCATTTCCGATACTACATGTAGCATGTAGAAATCAGTTTATATTGCTATCTTGCCCTTTTCCTGTGTGATATGTGTCATACAGACCCCCTGGTCACTCCCGGCTGCACAATTCTCTCCATACTTTGATGGTCTATTTATGCTTCTGCACTGGGGAAATGATAATATCCCTCATAATTGGTTGATTTGGGAGCTGCATGGTCTCGAGGCATGGTGTCCGCCTCGAGTGCTGGAGGTTCCGGGTTTAATCCTTGTGAGGGCTGTGATTTTTTTCACGTTGACTTGGACTTCTAGTAATTTCCCCTTGTCTCTGGGTAGTGAGATCAGACGCCCTTGTGCATTGTTGCGCACATAAAAAAAAATCCTTTGGCAGTTGGAAATCGAAAAGAGTAGCCTAATGGCGCTGCCCGGGCAAAATTGAAGAGTTGAAAAATTTACCCAAAGTATTACAGGATCCTCGCTTGTGCTACAGAGCCTGTGCACTGTGCTGAGTTTCTTCGGACTCAGACTTGAGTTAGAAGAAAGAACGGAGCACCTATAGGTTACTACTCGTGTGCCACAATGTTGATCCATTGTTCAAACTTCAAGTGTTTCTTTTGTATTGTACACGATGAGGTAGCCATGGCACCAACTGGTGGTGCCTTATGCACTTAGTTGCATGTGCAACTATGGATTTGTTCTATTTGCTGCTGACATTGATAAGGAACTGCAGTTCTAGTGCCGGACTCTTACGTATTGAATGCATGTGTGTATGCTGTTGGTATTGGCTTCACTGAGACTGCAGTCTGTGTCATGGTCATTCTGTTTTGAGCAACTACAGGGTGGCCGGTCGCTGTTTCAATATGTGTCTTACCCAATGGCCGTAACAATTTAAATATGTATGTCAGGGTGCAGTGGTACTATTCTACCCAATGCCTGGAACTGTTTCAATATGTGTCTTGTTATATGCCTGGGCCTATTTTACTGTGTGTTCTGTTTAATGCCTAGGAGTATTTCAGTACGTGTCCCAACATATACATGGGACCATTTCAGTGTATATCCCACCCAGCACCTGGGACTGTTTCAGTATGTGTCCCACCCAGCACCTGGGACTATTTCAGTATGTGTCCCACCCATCACTTGGGTCTATTTCAAGTATGTGTGCCAAGATCCCCCCCCCCCTCCCCCTCTGTGAGTCTATGGCAAGATTCCCACATTCCCCTTGAGTATAGTGCAAGGTTCTCATGCCCCACCCCACCCCCTTGAGTATAGTGCAAGGTTCTCATGCCCCACCCCACCCCCTTGAGTATAGTGCAAGGTCATCATGCCCCCCCCCCCACCCCTTTGAGTATAGTGCAAGGTTCTCATGCCCCACCCCACCCCCTTGAGTATAGTGCAAGGTTCTCATGCCCCACCCCAACCCCTTGAGTATAGTGCAAGGTCATCATGCCCCCCCCCCACCCCTTAAGTATAGTGCAAGGTTCTCATGCCCCACCCCACCCCTTGAGTATAGTGCAAGGTCATCATGCCCCCCCACCCCTTGAGTATAGTGCAAGGTTCTCATGCCCCACCCCACCCCCTTGAGTATAGTGCAAGGTCATCATGCCCCACCCCACCCCCTTGAGTATAGTGCAAGGTTCTCATGCCCCCACCCCACCCCTTAAGTATAGTGCAAGGTCATCATGCCCCCCCCCCACCCCTTGAGTATAGTGCAAGGTTCTCATGCCCCCACCCCCACCCCCTTGAGCATAATGCAAGGTCATCATGCCCCCCCACCCCTTGAGTATAGTGCAAGGTCCTCACCCCCCACCCCCTTGAGTATAGGGCAAGGTCCTCATGCCCCCACCCCCTTGAGTATAGGGCAAGGTCCTCATGCCCCCCCACCCCTTGAGTATAGTGCAAGGTCCTCATGCCCCCACCCCCTTGAGTATAGGGCAAGGTCCTCACCTCCCACCCCCTTGAGTATAGGACAAGGTCCTCATGCCCCACCACCCCTTTGAGTATAGTGCAAGGTCCTCATGCCCCCCCACACCCTTGAGTATATGGCAAGGTCCTCATGCCCCCCCCCACCCCTTGAGTATAGGGCAAGGTCGTCATGCCCCCCCCCCCCGCACCCTTGAGTATAGTGCAAGGTCCTCATGCCCCCCACCCCTTGAGTATAGTGCAAGGTCCTCATGCTCCCCCACCCCCTTGAGTATAGTGCAAGGTCCTCATGCCCCCCCCCCACCCCTTGAGTATAGTGCAAGGTCCTCATGCCCCCCCCCCCACCCCTTGAGTATAGGGCAAGGTCCTCACCCCCACCCCCTTGAGTATATGGCAAGGTCCTCATGCCCCCCCCCCCCACCCCTTGAGTATAGGGCAAGACCCCCACCCTCCCATATCCCAAACAAAACAGATTACGATCGACCTGCCACACCCCATAACCTGAATAAAATCTGCGCAGCCTGCAGTGGGTTTCGATTGTGCTGTGTTGGAATTACGAGTCAGACTCGCAACGCCTTGATACCCCCTTGAAACCTTCTCACGCTTCCAGGTTGGAGCTCAGTGGCACAAGAAGAGAGTAAGAAAAGTTGACTTTGAACTAACCAATGCAAAGTTGCTTAGCAGCCATTGAATTTGTGTAGTTTAAAATTTTGAATTAAGAATCGGCATCACAGCGCTCGGGACACTCCCATAAGTGCTCAGTCCCCATCTTCAACAGCAGACGAAGAGCTCCAATAGTACCAGTCTGATTGTATATCTGTCTCATCCTTCCTCCGCGTGTTGAGCGTTGGCCAGATCCCCTGGTAACTCCCCACATTCTCCTTAGACCATAATATTTGTGTAGTTTATCAGTGAATACTTTTAGCTGTTCTCTGTGCGTAAATGGGTGCCCTTTAAGGGAGGTAAAGACTAGTACCACTGTACCCTGACAGGCATGTTGTGAGAGCAAACTAAGATTAGGGTCTTCTTTGTCTGCGTCAATCTGAAGATGTAATTGCGTTATGCCCGTTAACAGCCTGGCTGCGATATATGCTTTGTTCAGCCAACACATCAAACTGCTGCAGGCAGATTAGGGTCCAACAGATCTCACATCTCACATCATGACAGCAGTATTTGCTATGGACTGCCTGTAGTTTGTTATTATTGTGTATCCAAGCATACAAAACTGAACGCAAAGAAGAGGAAGAAGATAATAATTATAAGAGAATAAAGCAGATTTCAGAATCTTAAATCTTTTTCATCTTCTTCGCATTCACAGACTGTAAACTATGGTGAAAAGTTCTGGTTGTTCATCAACTTCTGGACTGCAGTACTGTTCCAGAATCTGAGTGTTGCGTGTGCATCCGTTTGACTGATCTAACTAATTTGTATGCAGACTATTGGTTCCTTGCCTCTCAGGCAGATGCACTCTGACTTCGAAGGAAGCTGTCAATTCTTCGACTCTTATTACATGCTTTTGGGTAGGCAGTGGGGCTATTCTTGTTTCCTATAATAGGGCTCCGGAACCCACACGGGGAACAAAATCTTAAATCATTATGCTCATAATTTAATTAATCTGTTGTTTATTATTTCTGTTTGGTTTCCAGCACCAGTGCTTTTCCTTCTCAAGCACAGTCTCAACCAGTAGTACCTCTAGCTCCGCCTCTGCCTCCTCGACACCATCAGCTCCACCCCGGGCACATGTCAGTTACCCAGCAGCCACAGCCTTTAGCCCTGACCGTACCCTTCCGACAGCTACCACCGCCCTACATGGCACCACCTCCACCACAGCCACCACCACCAGCTTCTCAGGGCATGGATGGCCACCATCCACATAACATCATCCACCCGACATTTCTAAACGGCGCAGCTGGAACATCCGTGGTCCCTCCTCACCCGTACTGCGATCGGGCTCACACTCAAGGTCATGACCTGCGGCGTATGGTGAGTCAGACGGGTGATATTCCACATATGTTAAACCACTTACTACATAATAATGAGGTAAAGATAAAACCCATTTCCGTACTTTTTTTCTTGTTGTCAGCTGTTGTCTTTTGCAGCATGAGATGTTGGCAGAAATCACTGTTCACACTAATTCATGTGCTTTCCCTGAGTAGTTTGCTTAAATCACTCATTTAATATGTGAAATGTATTATTAATTATTACTTTTTTTTTGCATGAGATTTTTGCCACAAAACATTCACACTAATTCATGTGCTTTCCCTGAGTAGTTTGCTTAAATCACTCAATTAATATGTGAAATGTAATATTTTTTTATAATTTTTGTGTGTGCATGAAATTTCTCCACATAACATTCACACTAATTTATGTGCTTTCTCTTTGTAGTTAGCTTAAATCACTCATTTAATATAGGAAATGTAATATTATTATTACTACTTCTGGTTTTTGTGTGCATGAGATTTTGCCAGAAAACATCAGTCTCACTAATTCCTTAGCTTTTCGTAAGTAATTGTGCTAAAGTCACTCATTTAATACGAGAAATATGTATATATATATATATATATATATATATATATATATATATATATATATATATATATATATATATAATATATATATATATATATATTTTTTTTTTTAAAATAAGTTTTTGTCAAAGAAAATCACTCATACTAATGCATATGCTATCCCTCAGTAGTCTGCTTAATCCTGACACCCCTGAAAAGCCTTAAAACTAACACTTCCGGATTTGGTCTGATTCCACATAAAAGTCACTTTTCCGACTTGTCTACAGTGACGTGTTTACACGACTGAGTTTTTGCTTGCACAAACATTTAGAAAGTCATGGAATGAAAATGCTAACTTCAAATAGCATGACAAGATGTTTCCTTGTGAAGCAGATAGCTTTTTTTTCTTGCAGCCAATTGGAAGTCAGATTTTCCTGTAAGCCTCAGTGATTCACATAACTGCACGAGTCACCTGAAACAGATTTTTTTTTAAAGCCCTGGGGAATGTATTCAATTTAATGCTTCTCTGCGATCATATGTATTGATTATATTCTTTATATCTTTGAATACTTTGATTAAAAAAAAATAGAAACTTTAATAAATAAATTTGTAACAACAAATTGTTATAGACCTGTGTAGATTTTTACAGAAAAAAGACTTGGAAGGAGCAGTTCCTGTGAGGTCATGATCCACACTTTTGGCGTGACAGGATTAAATCAGCCATTTGATATGTGAAATGTGTTTTGTGCAAAATGTATTCATTGGTGTTTGAATGCCTGAGATGTTAGCAAAGACAGTTATTGCATTAACAAACATGCTTTCCCCAATGTAGTTCTTACTGCTCATTCCTCCATACCAAGTGAAATGTATTTGTGTGTTAACACTGTTAGTGGTTGAGATATTGTCAGACACTTCTGGAGCTTTCATAGCACTAGGGAATTTCTGGAGGTCAAAACAAATTACAAGAAATACTAAAATAAATTTTTTAAATTCTAATGTCAAATCAGTACTTTTGTATGGGGCAGAAACATGGAGAACAACTAAGGCAATTACTAATAAACTACAAACATTCATTAACAGGTGCCTGCGCAGAATAGAAGGAATTAAATGGTATGATAGAATAACTAATGTAGAGCTTTGTGAGAGAACTAAAAAGGCTTCGGTGGACCAAGAGGTGAGGAAAAGATGCTGGCGTTGGATAGGACACACACTGAGAAAACAAGAGAATAGCATAACTAGAGTGTCTTTGCATTGGAACCCACATAGGCATAGGAATAAAGAAAGGGCAAAAAACACATGGAGAAGAAAGCTGGAGAATGAAGCTAGAAAGATGGGGAGGACATGGAGGGAGTTCCATGTAATGGCAAAGGATAGAAAGACTTGGCATGAGTTGGTTGAGGGCCTATGCTCCATTTGGGGATATAAAGGCAGAAGAAGAAGAAGACATATCTCACACTATTCGACATGCTTTTCCAAATAACCTTCTTAGATCACTAATTTGATCCGTGAAATGTATTGTTTTTTCCCCTGCATGAGATGTTTTCAAAGAACATCGCTTGCAGTAAATAACTTTCTTAGATTACTCATTTGATCTATGAAGTATATTACTTTTTTTTCTGCATTAAATGTGCGTAAACTACATTGTCGAGTTGCTGTACATCTAACAGCCAGAATTTCAAAATCGGTCATGTGATTACCATGGTAATGTCAAATTGATCATGTGATCTTTCTGTTTACATCGTAGGAGAGTAGAGAACTAAGTACCCACACACACCAGAAGAAGACAGTCTAAATTCATCGGTCATATCATGAAGAAAATACTGGAGTATATTCTGACAGGGAGAAAGTTAGAGGAGAAAATAGTTAGACCAAGAGTGAAGATGCTGGAAAGTCAACATTGTGGCATGGAAGACCATCGGTGTCAGAAATTATTGAACATTTACAAGACAGGGTTGTGGATAGACATGGCTACCAAATGTAACTTAGCATGCACTATTAGAAACACTTTCAGCATGAAGCAGTCTATTTCTCAACTGTTCACCCTGTGAAAAATTCAAAATGACCTTGTTAAAAAATAATTAAAAAAGAAACACATTGTTATGATTTCCTGAAACCTTTGCTCAAAACACTAGAGGGAGGAAAGAAGAAGTGGCGACTGGTCAGTAGGCATTGTTTATTCATACGTTTTGCTTGATGCATGACTGGTCCTGCCTTGGCTGATGTGATTATAAATGCAGACGGTTCATGTTAAGGAATGCAAGGGGTTCATAACAAAAGCAGAAGAGTGACACTTAGTGCAGCAGTGCCTAGAATATGATACCACAAGTCTAGTTTAAAAATGGAGGCAGTCATTGCAAGTTTCTGCTGGCGTGATGATACTAGTAGTTATATCACCATTCCGTGACAGTTTTTGTCAGGAAAACATGTGCCGGCCTAGTTCCTGTTATGCCATCATGGCAGTGAAATGGTGCCTTTCATATTTTGGCTTTTTTCTCTCTCCATAGGCAACAATCATGTGAGCTCTTTCTATCTCAGGAGAAATGTTATATTACGTTGTGTTTTGTTATTTTATATTATGTTATCACTGTCAGCGTCACTGCACACTAGGCATTCCCATGCGTGTAGGGTCCTCCAATGTAGCAGCCACTCCAAGATTCGTCTACTAATTGTTTCTATGAGATGTTGGTTATAATGTCTCCTATCTCGGCGGCATAGGCGTGCTTCACCATGCTTTACTCCCATGTCATGCAATTGTGTTAGTGTCAGAGATTCATCATCATCCACTAGCCCAGTCCATACATCATTGATGATATCCGCTCTGTCCATGCTTCTTCCCACATGTGTTGGTGCATTGCTTGCCTGTTGGTCCACTCGTTCATTACCCTTAGCTTGACCAGATGTGTAGATCCAGGTGACGGAGGTAAAGTGCGATTTTTGAATGCTTTATACCCATTCAGAGTACTTACCACCTGTTGCTATCTTCTGAGGCATGTACATGGAGTCTGGTAAAATTACTGCCTGCGGGGCGGTTTGCTCTGCTGCCCATGCTAGTGCTCTAGAAGCAGCGGCTATATCCATGGTCATGCTTGATATAGTTGCCTGGTAAACGCTGATGTCCTCTTCTACTGTTTTCCCCATCCTTTGTATGCCCGTGCTGATCTTGATTCACGCTTCACAGATCCATCAGTGTAGGTGATAATGTCTTCTGGGTGTGAATGCTGATCTATCAGTGTCCTTACCTCTGTGTCTATGACCTCAGAATCTGATCCCTGCAGTATCTTCCCAGTGTGAGGGCAACCTTAGAGTTGCCACACATGTCTTCTGGGTGTAAAAGCTGATCTATCAGTGCCCTTACCTTATGTGTCTACGGCCTCAGAATCTGATCCCTGCAGTATCTTCCCAGTGTAAGGGCAACCTTAGAGTTGCCACGCATGTCTTCTGATGTGTTCATCCATTGTTTTTCGTGACCAATCTCGACAAAGTCACATACCTGCTGGATTAAATCTTCATCTTTGGCCATCCAGGAGCCGTCTCTTTTGAGACACATTCCTTTTGTGTCGAGTATAGCTTTGTGCAGTGGGTGATTAAACATCTACCAATACCCTCATATACGCCTTGACCTGCACAACTTTGTATCTGTTAGCCATTGTCGGCAAACCCAGGACATATCACATGGCGTGGCAGAAGGTGTCTTTATGCAGGCGAGTATGATTCTCATGGCCTCATTTTGTACCCGATCCAGTCTTTCTGGCTGGGTTCTGCTGACAGTGAGGAGGTGCAGATCGTAGTTATTGATGCTTGTCACAATCCCTTGATAGAGAAGGAAAAAAAAGATTTAAATATCAGCTGCTGCTGTCCAACCTTTCCTAGCTCAAAGTTTGACATTGTCTGCGTGATACTTGTCTGACAAGCATCTGTCAAATGTTATGATATAAGCTGTATGTTTGTTAAAATCTACAATGAATTTTTATTTATGTCATTATCTATTGTCTTCTAAAATGGTTTGGTTCATTTGTTTTCTTCTTGTTTTATAAGTATCCTTGGACAGAAATAATGCCGTGGCCAAGACCGTCAGCTCATCGTCCTGTTCCCCAGCCACTAGACAGATCTCTAATGTTTGACTTAGTGAGTGCATTGTTTATGTGTCTTCTTTGTATATTCTGAAAAAATGTAAGCTTATAATATTGTGGGCATTGCACCACTGTAAGTAAAGTGCCAAATCTTTGTATTGAGAAAATTGCGTTTGAATACTGTTCAAGCAAGCAGCTCAAGGTACTGTCAGCCCTGAATATTTATAGGAAAAATATTTCAGATCCTGCCCATGTAAATGCTCATAAACAGCACTGTGTCGTGAAAGCTGAGGTATTGTGGTTGTGTCAAACAGCATGATGGCATGGAGAGAAATTTTGGCTGTGTTAAACGGCATGATGGTATGGAGAGAAATTTTGGCTGTGTTAAACGGCATGATGGCATGGAGAGAAATTTTGGCTGTGTTAAACGGCATGGAGAGAAATTTTGGCTGTGTCAAATGGCATGGAGAGAAATTTTGGCTGTGTCAAATGGCATGGAGAGAAATTTTGGCTGTGTCAAATGGCATGGAGAGAAATTTTGGCCATGTTTAACTGCGTGATGGCATAGAGATAAATTTGACCATGTTTAACTGCGTGATGGCATGGAGAGAAATTTTGGCCATGTTTAACTGCGTGATGGCATGGAGAGAAATTTTGGCCATGTTAAACAGCATGATGGCATAGAGAGAAATGTTGGCCGTATTAAACGGCATGATGGTATGGAGAGAAATTTTGGCTGTGTTAAACGGCATGATGGTATGGAGAGAAATTTTGGCTGTGTTAAACGGCATGATGGCATGGAGAGAAATTTTGACTGTGTTAAATGGCATGGAGAGAAATTTTGGCTGTGTCAAATGGCATGGAGAGAAATTTTGGCTGTGTCAAATGGCATGGAGAGAAATTTTGGCTGTGTCAAATGGCGTGGAGAGAAATTTTGGCCATGTTTAACTGCGTGATGGCATAGAGATAAATTTGACCATGTTTAACTGCGTGATGGCATGGAGAGAAATTTTGGCCATGTTTAACTGCGTGATGGCATGGAGAGAAATTTTGGCCATGTTTAACTGCGTGATGGCATGGAGAGAAATTTTGGCCATGTTTAACTGCGTGATGGCATGGAGAGAAATTTGGCCATGTTTAACTGTGTGATGGCATGGAGAGAAATTTTGGCCATGTTTAACTGCGTGATGGCATGGAGAGAAATTTTGGCCATGTTTAACTGCGTGATGGCATGGAGATAAATTTTGGCCTTGTTTAACTGTGTGATGGCACGGAGAGAAATTTTGGCTGTGTCAAATGGCATGGAGAGAAATTTTTGCCATGTTTAACTGCGTGATGGCATGGAGAGACATTTTGGCCATGTTTAACTGCGTGATGGCATATAGAGACATTTTGGCCATGTTTAACTGCGTGATGGCATGGAGAGAAATTTGGCCATGTTTAACTGCGTGATGGCATGGAGAGAAATTTTGGCCATGTTTAACTGCATGATGGCATGGAGAGACATTTTGGCCATGTTTAACTGTGTGATGGCATGGAGAGAAATTTGGCCATGTTTAACTACGTGATGGCATGGAGAGACATTTTGGCCATGTTTAACTGCGTGATGGCATGGAGATAAATTTTGGCCATGTTTAACTGCGTGATGGCATGGAGAGAAATTTTGGCCATGTTTAACTGCGTGATGGCATGGAGAGACATTTTGGCCATGTTTAACTGCATGATGGCATGGAGAGACATTTTGGCCATGTTTAACTGTGTGATGGCATGGAGAGAAATTTGGCCATGTTTAACTGCGTGATGGCATGGAGAGACATTTTGGCCATGTTTAACTGCGTGATGGCACGGAGATAAATTTTGGCCATGTTTAACTGCGTGATGGCATGGAGATAAATTTTGGCCATGTTTAACTGCCTGATGGCATGGAGATAAATTTTGGCCATGTTTAACTGCGTGATGGCATGGAGAGAAATTTTGGCCATGTTTAACTGCGTGATGGCATGGAGAGAAATTTTGGCCATGTTTAACTGCGTGATGGCATGGAGAGACATTTTGGCCATGTTTAACTGTGTGATGGCACGGAGAGAAATTTTGGCTGTGTCAAATGGCATGGAGAGAAATTTTGGCCATGTTTAACTGCGTGATGGCACGGAGATAAATTTTGGCCATGTTTAACTATGTGATGGCACGGAGATAAATTTTGGCTGTAATAAACGGCATGATGGCATGGAGAGAACCGTGATGGAGGTTACAGTTGTGGAAAATGAGGCAGAGACATACCTCAATGAAGTGGATACAAGATATTAAAGATGCATTGACTATGAAAAAACATAGAGCTGGGGGAATTGGCTAGAGAAAGAGATGTTCAGGTGTGCCAAGACAAGAGTGATGTTCCGCAAAGGACCTGCCGATTGACGATGCCCATGTTAACTCTTTCTATCCCAAGCGATGCACTGTGCATGACTGGATCTTATTTATGTGTACCAGTCAGTCATTTAACAATAAATGGTGAAGAAACTGAAAATGTCACAAACTTTGAATATCTAGGCTCTATAATAAATAGCAATGGAGACTGTTTGACAGAAATCAAAAGGAGGATGGCCATAGCAATGCGAAGATTTAACAGCCTTAAAAGTCTATGGTTAAGCATCAGCAAGGAGATAAAAATTAGAATTTTGAGAGCATGCATCTTCCGTGTAGCAACATACGGAATTAAGTCATGGACTATCTCCCAGTCTTTAAGAAAGAGAATAGGGGCTTTTGAGCTTAAATGCTATAGAACGAACGATTCTCAGAATATCTTGGACAAAGAAGAGGAAAAATACTGACATCTTGAAAGATCTGAACATCAAGGAAGATGTCTAATAAACAGCATCCTGTCTCAGAAGTTGAAATATTTTGGTCATATCAAGCGCCACGACGGATTTGAAAAAAAATTATAGCAGAAGGCATGGTACCAGGAAGGAGGGGCAGAGGCCGACCGACACGAAGCGGGCACAGGATATAAGTGACTCTTTGAGTGTGAAAGTGGATGAGGCGGGAGAACTGGCGAGAGACCGAGTTTCTTTCAGGCAGACCGTGATGAGTGCTCGTTTCTGCAAAGGACCTGCTACATGATGATGAGTCAGTCAGTTATATATATATATATATGTTTTTTATCTCATGTTTAGTCAAGGATTTTTTTTTTTAGTATCCAAAAGCCATGAGTTGTTAACCCTTAGAAGGACTCATCCATTCTTTAGATGTTCAGATCTTTCAAGATGTCAGTATTTCTTCTCTTTCTTTCTTCCAAGATATTCTGAGAATCTTTCTAAAGCATTTAAGCTCAAAAGCCTGTATTCTCTTTCTTAAGGACTGGGAGATAGTCCATGACTCAGTTCTGTATGTTGCTACACGGAATGGATATCGCAAACTTTCGGCCTTGATTCCATTGTAAATACCATAAATCTGGGAGAAATGTGGCTTTCCTGCCTACCCCCGGGATTGAACCCGGACCACAAGGAGTTCGTCACCCGGTCTCCGCGCAATCCGGTTTAGCCAACTACACCAGAGAGCTGGGCAAAGGGAGTCTTTAAAAACCCCAGACAACATATATGTCTCCTACAATTATGGTGTGTTTGGCCCCCGCGGAGGTAGTTACCCATGAGTTTAAAGATGTCATTTTTGTCTTTCTCAAATCTGGGTACATAAACGTGCAGACGCATAAATTATGCATTTAGTAAGCAATTACAAAATACTAAAAGAAACGTTGCCTAGTAAACCCTCAAACAGCCAACAACTGCTGGGGTTGTTTTGCGAGGTTCTGCCAAAATTTTACAAATTTAAGAATTGACATCATAGCACACCAGGCAAAGCCACAGGTGCTTCGTCTCCCACAGTTCGCAATTTTGTAAAGAATGTGCAGCTAACTTTATTGTGGTTGGTTACATTTTTCAAGAATATTAAATTTTGTGATTTACTTTATAAATCGGGAAATTCCCGTGTGGATTTCCATTGTCCGTTGTGGGGGAGAAGAAAAAACCCCACTGCCTCCTCTACAAGCATGTCATAAGAGTCAACTAATTAGGGGTTTCCTAAAAACTTAGGGTGCATCTGCCTAAGAGGCAAAAAAACCAACAGTCTACATACAAATAAGACATCTGTAGAACTGATGTGTACATAATACTCAAGTTCTTGAACAGGACTAAAGTCCAGAAGTGGATGAACAACCAGAACTTTCGGCCAGTTCACAGCTGGTGAACGCAAAGAAACAATATTGGGAATAAATCTCTTCCCCACACAAAAATTTACTTACAGCAGAAATGTGGTCTTTGAGAAGAATGCAAAGAATATGGAATAACCGACAAACTAATGGGGCGGACCGCCTAAGGCAGATGAAAATAGTTAATTGATTAAAGAAATTTGATGTATAGAGTCTTGTGTTTTGCCAACATTTTATGAGAAAAAATGGACTCCAAACCTTGGTAATGACTGGCAGGATTGATGGAAGGAGCTAGGAGAAGACTGTCCGGATGGCTTAGCTGTATGGGTGGGGGCGAAACATGAGAACGGAGTTGATCAGTGAATTAGGGGGGGGGGGGGGTCGTGTTGGAATGTGAAGCCTGGGCTCATTGGCATAGCACATTATTATGATGATAATGTTTACATGAATGTTTTGTCTGTTTGTGGATTTTGTTTGTTGATTTGTTTGTTGTGCTTGCTGTGTTCCTTGTTGTTTTCCTTGTTTGGTTCTTTATTTATTGTTTTGTTTGTTGTTCTTTTTGTTGTTGTGTCTGCTTTTTTGTTTGTAGCTTTGTTGTTTTGTTTGCTGTTTTTTTTTATTCGTGGCTGTTTTTGCATTTTGTTTGCTGTTTTTTAGTTGTTGCTGTTGTTGTTTTGTTTGCTGTTTTGTTTATTGTTTTGTTTGTTTTTACTCAAGTACTGTGTCTGTATTTTACAGGAGTATGTTCCACCGTACCGCCCTATGGTGACACCCAGGGTAGGTAGACTGTCCCAGTGCAGGTTTTTTTTTTTTAGATACTTGTTTGAGGATGGAGAAAATTTATGAAAAGTTTGTAGTTTGTTTATACACACAGCAAGATTAAGCACATGTTGAATCCAATTGTTCAGCGGCAGTACTCAGCTACTGTGAATGAGAGAATTGGGAGTAAAGATTAGCACCATAGAGTCGGAAGATTGAGGGGGGGGGGGGGGGGGGGGGGGATTCTATCCGCATCATTACTAAGAAGCCGGGATATGGGAGTAAAGATTGGCTTGAGAGGCACACAGGATATCTAGTCAACCAGCATGTAACTGTTAATAATAGGAGTTGATGTCTGTGTGTGTGTGCGGGGGTTGGTGGGGGTCGGTCTGAGCACCCACGGGCCTGTCCTGACTGCTGTGAGAATAACCCAGCTCATAGGTTCCACTGGATCAGACACACAGCGAGAAAACCTGTTAATAGTAGAACTGGCCAGTTTCTTTTCTGGAACCCACAAGGTGAAAGAAATATAGAAAGTCTCTAACAATGCACAAAGAGAATTTCAAGATAGCGTGGAACAGTGTGGGAAAAACTTGGTGGGATCAAGCAGCCAGGTGGCGCCTCCATAGCGAAAGTAAGCTGCAGCGAACCTTCAACACATTCAGGCTCTTGTGTCTAGGCGGTACACTCTTTCATACTTCTGTTCGTCCATCTCTTATGTTGTCCTCCCACTTGTATTATTGTCTGCATCTTGCTAACTTGCCCTCGACCTTTCCTCTTTGTATGGTATGGGTTTTAAAGAGTGATGTGAATTTTTATGTGTCAAAAATATTTGTATTTGTCTTCTCTCTCTCTCTCTCTCTCTCTCTCTCTCTCTCTCTCTCTCTCTCTCTCTCTCTCTCTCTCTCTCTATCTCTCTCTCTCTCTCTCTCTCTCTCTCTCTTTAAAATTTTTTTTTTTTTTTAAATTTCAATAACTTACTTTTCATTCATAATCTCCAGAACCTCTTATGTTTGATTATTTGTTTCCATGAAATAGCACCTGTTCATCTATGTATCCATATTTTCGGAGACTTGTTGTGATTTTCTAATTTGATCACACACAAAATAACAAAGTGATGATTTTATTGAGTTCATTGGCAGCTTAAGCTCCAATAGGAATACAGTTTAGAAAAAAAAAAAAAAAAGAGGAGAAGACAGAGCAGAAAAAAGTTTTCATGCGTTCTATTAATTTGTACCTCGTAAATGGTTCTAGTGCTTCTCATTAATTGCTGTTCTGTGGGTTTTCATCTAGGGCTACATTTTAGCGCGGAATCACACGGCTTTTGACATGTTGCAGTGTAGTGTGATGGGCGCAACACAGGAGACCATAGAGCGCAATACGCTACCCCACAAATACAAGAAGGTTTGTGCCTGGCTGTTGTCATGTTTATGTTTATGATCATACTTCAGTGTTAGGGATCACCGTTTGATGGGGATCAGTTGAGTTGAGTCAAGCAGTGACATCACAGCACTCGGGGCATTCCCATGCATGCTCCATCCTCATCTTCAGGAGCCAGCGCAGAGTTCCAGTACTGATGGTACCGGTCACAATCTGGTTATATGCCTGTCTTGCCTTTCCTCTGAGTGTAGTGAGCCGGTCAGACCCTCTGGTTACACCCAGGTGCCTCATTCTCTCCAGGCCATAATTATCTTCTTTCTCTACTCATTCTGTTGCTTGTTCTTAAAGGGCATTGACCACATCTGCCTTGTCATGTATCAATTCACCATCCAGTGGTGCAGATCCAGCCAATCTGTCTTTCTGTTCATTACCGATCACACCGGCATTGCCTGGAGAAAAGATCCAAAGTATGTTCACTACCCGTAACCTTTCCAGTGTGGCTTCTGGAACTTTATTGTAGGGAAAAACAGAATAGGCACACTGCCATCCCAAAAGCATCTCTGGTTTATGGTTTATACAGTGGATCAATATCATGGCACAAAGGCAGTAACCCATAAGTGCTCCATTCTACTTCTAACTCAAGCGTAAGTTCAAAGAATCTCAGCGCAGAGTAGGAACTCTATAGCACCGGCAGGGATCCTGAAATACTTTGGGTATTTTTTTAAACTTCAGCGCAGTTAGGCTACTCTTTTCTATTTCTAACTGCCAGGTGATTTGTGTTTTAACATGCGCCTGATCTTACTACCCAGAGAGCAGAGGAAATTACTAGAAATCCGAGAGGCAAGGATCTGCATACAGATAATTTGCAGATGAAACATGGCATGGCAGTGTTGACAGGGTAGTAACCCACACCCTGCAGTAGGTTCCTGTTTAAAGTTTTTCTAGACCAGCAGTTCTCAGTCTGCTGGTGGCAACCTTTTTTTGTGTGGGTCAAATGACCCTTTCACAGGGGTCGTCTAAGACCATGGGAAAACGCTTATTTATTGAAGTTATAAAAGAAAATCATTGTGGGGGGGGGGGGGGGGGGGGCAAAATGAACCGGCAGATATACTGGGTGGTTCTGCACCAATTGGTGGTGAATTGACGAATGACAAGCCAGATGTAAGAGTCATTTGGCTGCGAGTGAATAATGCAGAGGCACAAATAATCATTGCGAGATTCTGTCAAGATATCACTAATTCAAGAATCAATCCCATAGCACACCAGGCAAAGCCACACGTGCTCCATCTCCCACAGTTCGCAACTTTGCAAAGAATGGGCAGCTAACTTTATTGTGATCATATATATATATATATATATATATATATATATATATATATATATATATATATATATATATATATATATATATATATATATATATATATATATATATATATATATATATATATGATCAGGAATATTCAATTTTGTGTTGTACTTTATTTTGTGAAAATGGCGCTGCGAGCGTTGGCCAGGGGAACTGGCCAATGCTTAGCACTCAAGGGAATCAGCTTGCGGCTGGTAATGTTAGCATATCAACTCTTTGTTGGTTGGAGCAAGTGTGGGAATGTCCCAAGTGCAGTGCTGTCAGTTCCTTATTCATTCATTTATTCAAGTGAAAGGCGAGACAGATATACACTCAGACCGTTTCTGACAGAATTGGAACTTATCACTTATTGCTGTGGATGTGGATGGTGTGCTTATGGGAATATCCCGATTGCTGCAGTGTCACTTCTTAATTCACTATTCAACATTCTGCCTTCAATGTTTTTAGGTTATTGTGTTTTTTCGGGTGTCATTTTATGAATTTCTTTCCTGTTTATTGCCTTCTATATTTTATTGGCTGGTGTGATGTTGCTTGTGCTTCTGTGATTCTTCTTTTTTTTCTTCTTCACGTTCACCGGCTGTAAACTCTGGCGGAGAGTCCTGGTTTTTCGTCCACCTTCTGACTGTAGTCTGGTTTCAGAGCCTGAGTATTGCTTGCACATCTGTTTTACAGATCTGACTTATTTGTATACAGATTGTTGGTTCCTTGCCTCTCAGGCAGATGCACTGTGACTTCGAAAAAAGTCTCTCCCCCCCCCCCCCCCCCCCCATTAAGTGGACTCTTACGACATGCTTGTTAGGAAGGCAGTTTGCCAATTCTTGTTTTTCCTATAATGGGGCCTTGGAACCCACTGTATGTCTTTATTGTTTTTTGGTTAATATCATTTGTTTGTGATTTGAAGACTTGTCTGTTGGATTTTGTTCTTTGCCCTCACTGTTTTTGGGTTGTCATTTGTTGGTGATTGAATTAATAGTTTTCTGGTTTGTGGTTGGCCCAGGTGGAGACCTCATCAGCTGGCGATGCAGACAAGGACAGCAATAATCACCAGGAGAAATGCACAATTTGTCTCAGTGAATTTGAAACTGGGGAAGATGTGAGGTGTGTACTTGTCTTCTCGTCCCAGATGTTTTGTTGTTGTTGATGTTTATAACTTACAGATTCATTAGTCCATTGGCTGGTCGGCAGACGACTTCTTCACCGGTCAGTACAGTATTTGGGTTTGTCTCCCTTGATCGCATCAAGAGTCTTTTTCAGGGCTAAGCTATTTTATATAGCACAAATAAATGTAGCCACAACTATAACCAAAAGCCCCCCCCCCACCCGCCTTTTGGGGAAGATGCTGGTTGAACATAAAGATTTTTGTGTGTGGGCCCTGCAAAGCAAGTCAGGGTCGGGTCAATAATCCGTATGTTGAACACCACAACATCTAGCATGAGAATGGAGGTAGAGGCGGTAACTGCAGCTCTCTGGTGGCTAGATAACAAGATGCATACACATGTGGTAATAGTAACAGACTCTGAAAGCGTGCTGAGAAAGGTGAGGACAGGGATGCTTCGAGCAGAATGGCAAGCTTCGCTGGAAAGGTCACGGGTGGTGAGCATGCTTTGGATCTTTTCTCCAGGCCATGCCGGCGTGTGGGGTAATAAACAGGTAGACAGATTGGCTGGATCTGTATCTGGATCTGGTGAATTGATACATGACAAGGCAGGTGTTGGTCATGGCCCTTTATGAACAAGCAACAGAATCAGTGGCCGGCTCACTACACTCAGAGGAAAGGCAAGACAGACTTCTAACCAGATTGTGACCAGTACCATCAGTATTGGAACTCTGCGCTGGCTCCTGAGGATGGAGCATGCCTTTTCACCCAATAATTAGCCTTGACTGGGTACCAGGTACAAATCCTGGGAGGTAAAGGAGGCTGGCGTGATGCTGACCACACCACCCACCTAGAGCCGATTGGTCTATAAAATATAGGTCTATCCCTATATGCCCAATACACCTAAGCCATGGAAGAGGATCCTTTACTTTACCCCAATAATGAGGCATAACCATCCGTTAAAACCTCCACGAAAACATAAAACCAACACTGCTGCATTGACAAGTCCTAGACATGCCAGATTATTAGCATCGGTTTTGTTTGTGCCTGTGCACGGTTAAGGTGGGTCAGACATATTTGCTAGCAAATAGCCTACTGGTTTTGTTTGTGCCTGTGCACGGTTAAGGTGGGTCAGACATGATTTTTACTGGCAAATAGCCAATTGGTTTTGTTTGTGCCTGTGCATGGTTAGGGTGGGTCAGACATAACATTTACTAGGAAATAAATAGCCTATTCGTTTTGTTTGTGCCTGTGCACGATTAAGGCGGGCTAGACATGCTATTTATCCTCGGAAATAGCAATGAGGGGAAAAGAGGGGGGGAGTTGTGTGTGTGTTTAGAAAAAAAAATTTGTAGGTATTATGACATCATAATTCACTTTCACTAGGCACATAGCAACAGGTCTATAATATGAGTCATAGTATATGTTTTTCAGGCCCAAGGAAATTTATTTGTTTACTTCTCCCATTTGTTTATGTTTATTGATTACCCCACTTCATATATTTCTGTACAATTATGGTCTTCACCATGGTAAAGGTCTTGCTGAAATCGTAGGTGTTGGGCTTAAAGATATCACAGCCTAGCTTCAACTATAATACAGTGTGCTGACTGCCCTTTTAAGTGCTGTAGAACTAGAAAAAGAACTTGGGAGCACAAAACTAATGGCTTTACCGCTTCTTCTTTTTGTTCGTCCCAGTGACATAAATGCATTATGCCTGTTTACAGCAAAGCTGTGATATTTGTGCCTTTTGGCCGACACATCCAGCTTCATGGAGCATTTGTTGACCAGGTCAACTTCCGGGGTAGTTTCAAGGAACATATGCCTTTTGTGTGTGTGTGGTGCACCCTTTGTCCTATTGTCTAAAAATGCACTCAAGGGAACATTGGGGCAAATCATGGGAATTTGCCGCCATCCAAAGAGGCTTTCATAAATACAGAGCCGACACAGATTGCTCTGGTCCTGGGCTCACCGAAGGAATCGTCACTTCCTGCACATGTCTGAATAACCTGACATCTGTGTGTTGAGCTTCGTGCTCGTCACAGCCGCACCCTCCAGATATCAGCAGGAAGCAGCCCGCTGGTCCAAGATTTTGTGACCACACAAATAGATATTCTTCTTAAGATGCTTCTTCATCACGTTAGACATTTTTAACATTGTTTGATCTGGACACCGAGCATGACTGAATGAGAAAATCAAACATTCAGCGTGGCTGTCAACGACCTTATTTCTAATATATGACATATGGCTCATGTTGCAGACCGGTAACAGATAAGTCCACCCCAAAACACCTCAAGCTGAACACCCGTGGAGCACACACAAAATCTTTAATGTACAAAAATCATTAAACCTATGGAAGTTAGCCTCAAGAGTTGTAGGTGCTCCTTATCTGAAACGCAGGCCTAGCTAGCTTTGCACATCACTAGTCACGCCTTCCTGTTTCCGTAGATTAGCACTGGGCACAGACCCATATCACTCTCGTACAGCGCTGTCGAAAGTCACTGTCCCCCACACAAGGATCCTGAAGCTTGCACAGAGCGAATGGCTGAATGTGTGCCGGCAGATGTTAACACCACAACCAGTGTATTATCACCTTAAATAACTGCTTTCACGGAATCTACTTGAACAATTCTAACCCACACAACAATGCTACAAGACTGCATTACTTCGTCAATACCGCACGATACAAATTACCACTACAACCTAGCCAAAACACATTCCTATCGGTCAACTACAATTGTCAGTAACACACTACGCTGTAACTCTCTATGCTACACGATGTCACCGTCGCAGCAGGACTGTGCAGCAAGATACCACACACATAGATTTTGTGAGCTTTACTCGTGTTCCAAATGCATTTTGATAGATGTTTTCTCCTGCGCATTGGGGGTGGGCTGATGGGAGCCAGACTGGACACTACGTCTCTGGGGTGCCACTGATGGGAGCCAGACTGGACACGTCTCTGGGGTGCCACTGATAGGAGCCAGACTGGACACTACGTTTCTGGGGTGCCACTGATGGGAGCCAGACTGGACACGTCTCTGGGGTGCCACTGATGGGAGCCAGACTGGACACTACTTCTCTGGGGTTCCACTGATGGGAGCCAGACTGGACACTACGTCTCTGGGGTGCCATTGATGGGAGCCAGACTGGACACTACGTCTCTGCGGTACCACCAGCTTCCAGATCCCCTGCCAAAAAAGGTGTGCCATCATCCGTGTCGCGCAACGAGGTCAAGTGGCAGGAGTCTTGCGTGATCAATAAAACCATCCTAGTGTTGGCTGGCACCCGAGTTGAGGACTGGACTAACTCTTTATACACGTCACAATGACCCTAACTTTTGGTCACACCTGTGACCGAAATCATCACGTCACTATTCACCACTTCACCTCCGAGACTGTGATAGTTTTTCTGTGTTTGAGTGACTCCGGCTAGTTTCTCCTCCTGGTTTAGGAAAAAATAAATAAAAAATCGTCTCATTCAGCCAGCACCCCTCGTAGGGGGTGCTTTAGGTTATAATTGTGACTTGGTTATGTGCACCTTATAAAATAGCTTAGCATTGCACGCCACCAAGAGCCTTGAAAAGAACTCCTGCAGTGTGAATGCCATCAAAGGAGACAGACCTAAATACTGTCCCGACGGGCGACAAAGTCGTCTGCCACTGGGCGACCCAGCCGCCATGTAGGATCCGGCTAGTTAATTGTGTTTGTGGATATACTCTAGTTTGATTTTTCTTATTTCCACAGGCGCCTCCCTTGCATGCACCTGTTTCACAGTGAATGTGTTGACCAGTGGCTTTCCACCAACAAGAAATGCCCTATATGCCGAGTGGACATAGAAGCAGGAGCTAAGAGCACTATGGTTCTAGGGAATGGCCCTGTCATGTGACAGTAAAACCTTCTCGTTAAAACGATTGTTAAAATGTAAATATAGTAATGTAAATTACCATTATTGTCCAGATTTCATTGACATTATAATTCTCCGTTTCTGCCCTAATATATCTGTAGTAGTATTTGTATGTATGTAGATGTATACATAACGTAAAATAAAGGGTTCCCCAAGTGGATTCCGGGACCCCGGGAAAATGAGAATAGACCCCACTGCCTCCAAGCCAAGCATGTTGTAGGAGTCGACTAACTCGGGACTTGCATCTGCCGAGCGGCAAGGAACGAACAAACTTTATTTTCAAAGGGTTACAAATTAGGCACGCAGGCCTGTCTTACATTCAGCCCTTCCAAACTTTCATCTTTCACACAGCAGTTGTATTTCATCAATGAAGCATGTTATATTTATGTAATAATATGCATATTATATATATGAAGTCAAAAACAAAAGCATGGGTGGTAAAATATGTGCGCACGCTCACGCGCGAACGTACACCCACATACACACGCAAGCCCAATCACTCACTTACACACAAACACATTGACACCCAGTACACACATACATCTACATACATACGAACGTGCACACATACATACATACATACATACATACATACATACATACATACATACATACATACATACATACATACATACATACATTAATACATTAAGCCAGTAAAAGGGATGCACATGCAAAACTCAGGCCCTGGCACAAAACCAAGCTCCAAATGGACGAACAACCAGGACTTTCCGCCGGAGCTTACAGCGGTAAACAAACAAAGAAGTGTATGGCCTGGCATTCCTTATTTGTTGTTGTCAATATTTGCCGTTTTCTATACATTGTTTCTATATTGTCACCCAACGACTTCATGACGGTAACTGTATCATACACATTGAACATATTTCCACACAACTCTTTTATGAACCTTGCCTCAAGGGAAAGGGGAGACAGATTTACAATCAGAAATCTTCGCTTGCTGCTGAAGATGTGGACAGAATGCTTATGGGAGTACCCCAAATGCTGTGACGTTGATTCTTAATTCAGCATTTAACATTCAACATTGTTTATGTATTTTGTACATTATTCTTTGTAAAATATTGAAGATTACTGTAGCCAGGAAAATAGTCATTTTTATCTGATGCTATCTAATTTTGTATACTTTGTGTCTATTTTTTTGTTATTACTCTTAGTACTGATAACACACATATGAAGCCTGATTTGTTTCTTTGAAACTGTTATCAAATTGAATATTATTATCCATTTCAAAACAAAATCCCCCCCCCCCCCCCCCAAAAAAAATGCTATAACTCAACAAGCATTTGATCGAAGTTGTTGAAATCTTGCATCAGCAAGATTATGATGTCAAGCTGGAGAGTTGTTTGCAGTGGAGTCTGTTTTACTGTTGGTTGTCCTTGGAAATATTTGCTGCGAAAATGTGTTTATATTTCCCACGACTTAGTGGACAAGTCACAGTTTAAAGTGTGTTGCATGTGGTTGTTTAGAGTGAGCAAGACAGTTTTGGTGAGAAATGTCATTGTTGGTCACTGGCCAGTCAAAAACAGATTATCTGTACAATTACAGTCAATTATCTCTTTAGGGCCCCGACTTGACTTGCTTTGCGAACAAAAGTTTTAAAAAATTATCACATTTAACCAGCATTCTCAAAGGGGAAGCTTTCGGTTATAATTGTGACTAGATTATTTCCGCCATATAAAGTTGCTTGGCATTGCTCGCTACCAAATAGCCCTGAAAAGAACTCTTGCAGTGTTGGCATGATCAAAAGACAGACCCAAATTCTGTCCCGACTGATGACGAAGTTGTTTACTGGCCAGCCAATAGGCAGTTTAGGGCCACAACAGTGGTGTGTTAAAACAGATAACGCTGCTGATTAGGGAAAACTACTGCTCCTTCGTAATTGTAAATTATAAAATCACAATGGCATTCTTCTTCTTTAAGTTCACCGCCTGTAAACTCCATCTGTAAACTCCTTCTGTAAGCAGACAGTTTTGGTTATTCATCCACGTTTGGTCTTTTATTATCATCCAGTAACTAAATGTTATGTGCATATCCGTTTTACAACTAATGTCACTGCTCATTAACCATTCCCATGTGTGCTCAGTCCTCTGATGCAGCAGCCACTCCAAGGTGCTTCTAAGCATTGTTTCTATGAGAATGCTTTTGGGGGGGGGGGGGGGGCAGTGAGTCCATTCTCATGGTTAAACATTGCCATGGATATTAGGGGGTCCCCCGATGTGCCTATTCTCATGGTTAAACATTGCAATGGTTATTAAGTGGGCCCCAGTGTGTCTATTTTCATGGTTAAACATTGCCATGGTTATTAGGGGGGCCCAATGTGTCTATTCTCAAGGTTAAACATTGCTATAGTTATAAGAGGGCCCCAATATGTCTATTTTTATGGTTAAACATTGCCATGGTTATTAGGGGGCCCCAATGTGTCTATTCTTATGTTTAAACATTGCCATGGTTATTAAGTGGGCCCCAATGTGTCTATTCTCATGGTTAAACATTGCCATGGTTATTAGGGGGCCCCAGTGTGTCTATTTTCATGGCTAAACATTGCCATGGTTTTTAGAGGGGCCCCAATGTGTCTATTCTCATGGTTAAACATTGCCATGGTTTTTAGAGGGGCCCCAATGTGTCTATTCTCATGGTTAAACATTGCCATGGTTTTTAGAGGGGCCCCAATGTGTCTATTCTCATGGTTAAACATTGCCATGGTTTTTAGAGGGCCCCAATGTGTCTATTCTTATGGTTAAACATTGCCATGGTTATGGGGGGGGGGGGGGGGGGGGGGGGGGGGGGGGGGGGCGGCAATGGGTCTTTTGTCAAAGAGTATTTAAAGTTATCATCAACTTTGGAATACCAAATAAGTTAATCGCCATGACTAAACTATGTATGGAAGACACTCAAAATATAGTAACATTTAAAGGCAGAAAGTCAGACCCTTTTCAAACATCTGGTTTAAAGCAAGGTGATGCTCTGTCCCCACTTTTTTTCAACTTAGCCCTGGAGAAAATTATAAGGAAATTGAAACATGAGTGTGCTATAAGAGAAACTACAAGAATACTTAGATATACAGATGACATTGATGTCATTGGTTAAAATGAACTTGAGACTGTAAAAATACTGACTAAAAAGAATCAGCTCAGAAAATGGGATTAGTTATCAATCAAGATAAGACAGAATACATGATAATAACAAGATGGAAAAGATATAAACTGTGTTCACATACAAGTCGATAATATGAAAATCAAATAAATGGAAACATGCTGAAGGAAGAAATACAACCTAGAATATAATCTGGAAATGAAGTATACTATGACCTTCAATATCTGCTAAAGTCAAAGTCTCTGTCTCGCAACACCAAGATCAAAATGTATAAAATGTTGATAAGACCTATCATTCTATATTGCTCTGAAACTTGAAGCACAGCTAAAAGAGAGTAAGCCTTATTACTGGTTTTGAAAAACAGTGTTACGACAAAACTTTGGACCTATCAAATATGCAAACAGCGGGAAATGGAGAGTGAGAAGCTTCAGTGAAATTCATAATCTGTTTATATCATTATTGATCACTGGCATCATGAGAGCTAATAGACTGAAATGGTTGGGGCATATTGAAAGCATGTCAGATGACAGAGAGTTAAAAATAAACAATATACAAGGAACCTCAAGGGCTTGGAATGCTGAAGAAGCAAGAAAAAGAAGATCAGAACAGAACTGCTGCATGGAACGGAAACTTATTACTTTGTTCTTTTAAAAAATACTTTTTATTGAAAGCATGTCAGATGACAGAGAGTTAAAAAAAACTATATACAAGGAACCTCAAGGGCTTGGAATGCTGAAGAAGCAAGAAAAAGAAGATCAGAACAGAACTGCTGCATGAAACGGAAACTTATTACTTTGTTCTTTTAAAAAAATACTTTTTATTGAAAGCATGTCAGATGACAGAGAGTTAAAAAAAACTATATACAAGGAACCTCAAGGGCTTGGAATGCTGAAGAAGCAAGAAAAAGAAGATCAGAACAGAAAGAACTGCTGCATGGAACAGAAACTTATTACTTTGTTCTTTTAAAAAATACTTGATTAAGATGTCTATGGAGAATAGAAGGAATAAATTGTATGACAATTGCCTGTGACTCACTGCAGTGAGTGAATCAAGAGGTGAGGAAAAGATGCTGGCATCGGATATGACACACCGAGAAAACCACAGTATGACTAGAATGACCCTGAAAGACACCAATAAATGTATCCTGTCTATTTCTTCCATCACTTTGTATTTGCCCTGACGTTAGAACTACAGTATTTTTTTAAAATTGTTTCTGTGAAAAACTTCACATGCATTTATAAAATAAGGTTATGCAAAATAATGGAAACACTGGTATATTTCCCTGAATATACATTGAGTATGAATAACGAATATACATACGTAGGTTCGCTCCCTGGTGGAGCGGGAATTTTTTTTAAAAATAACTAGCTCCCAGGTCTACCCAGCCTTGATTGGGTACCGGGTGCAGTCCTGGGAAGTAAAGGCGGCCGGCATAATGCTGATCACATCACCCATCTTTACCGATTGGTCTAAAAAATATATACCCAATATGCCCTATATGCCTAATGGCGAGGAAAGGGGTGCTTTACCTTTACTTTATAATGTTGCTAGTGTAAATTTGTTTATGTAAATTTACATCATACTGTGGCAGATATGCCATTTATGTAGTTGTTTGAGGCTCATGTGGTCTCGGGTATTGTGAAACTTCCACTTGGTTAGCTTCACTGCAGATGTTGCTACAGGCCTCATAATGTGTTTGCCATTCAAGCAATTCTATTACTTGACTGGGTGCTTTATTAATATCCTACCACAAACGGAAAATTCACAGGTCACAGGACAGTTTAATTTTTAAGTGAGTGGTATGTGGCTGCACTCTCTCGTGGGACGTAGGAGGGTTGGGGTTAAGGCCAGTTCTAGATGTTTTGGGGTTG